ACACAGCAACAAACGACAACCACTGAATTACAGGCTCTTGACTTGGACCAGGCACATACATACAGAATGTGGCGAGGTTTAACATGTAAGCGGGATCCCAACCCTCCCCCTTACCTGGGACAGTGGTGTAACAGTACAACAGAAAAACGAACTATAAAAATCAGTGGAAAAGGCTTAACTCATCAGATGGATACAAATAGAAATACATATCACAAAAATACAGTGTGGACGTGACCGGGTACTTGTACATCCCAACAACAAAAAGAAACTATGTACAAATCTGAGACTCCTCGCAGTTACTGACAGCTAGTTCAAAGCCAATAACAACTAATAAAAAAATCATGCATCTAAGACTAAATTATCAATCAGTACACATCCAACATCCAATGGGGGGCCTCCGTGGCCGAGTGGACTAAGTAGTATTACTGTAATCACTAGCCAGTCAACACTGAGGTTGTGAGTTCGAACCCCGCTCGTGCGGGTGCACTCGACTCCAATCTTAATTGACTAGGATTGTCAGTTTTCCTATCGAAGGTCGGTGGTTTTCTCCGAGCACTCCGGCTTCCTCCACCAATAAAAACTGGCCGCCACAAAATAGCCCAATAGCGGTGCTTAAAAGTTGCGTTAAAACACCAAAAATCAATCAATCAATCCAACATCCAATGGATTTAGTGTAAAGACGTCATAAACAGACAGAGAAAAACATAAGCCCTTATTAACTTAAAAACCTGGAAAAGTTCTTCATCGACATGAAAAGCATTAGAAATGTAGTTTGTGTAGACCATCGCACTCCAGCATTACCACCATCGCACTTCAGCGTAGCTATAAACAAGATAGCGTCACAATGCCACCATCACACTTCAGCGTGATCAAAAACACACTTCAGCGTCAAACCATCGCACCTCAGCGTGACCATCGCGGTTCGGAGTACCATCGCGGTTCAGAGTCCTACATATATATATGTGAATTTTAGTTATATTGTCTACATATTTTGTATTTGTCACAAACTTAATGTTTAAAGTTTATATGGCAATAAATATTTGAAAAAAAAATTATTAGGATTTCAAAACAACGATAAAATCAAATAAGAGAGCTAACTGCATGTAACTATATTTTTTTTAAATAATGAGAGAATCTCCGAAAGATCGGTACTTTGTGGTTGGTGTCTGCAATATTGTTTTTTTTTTTTTTGGCATGTCCTATCTACCTTTTTTAGTGTAATCTTCTTTTTGAAAGTTAACTATACGCGTAATTAGGTGACAATAAACTTGATTTGGATTAGATCTCTGACAAACAATATCTCTTCCATTGATATAATTAAGACTGTGACAGAGAAAAATAAGAAATAAATTTTAGCTTCAATTTGAATCTTCCATTCTCCCGTATATCCCCGATTTATATAAAACCTTATATTTCTGTAATAATATTATAAGGCTCAGTCTACACATCTATAACATCAATACCATCGATTACTTCCTTAGTCCTGAAAACAATGAGCTCACTTGAACCTGGATTACTTAACTGGTGAAAAAGTGCCTGTTTGTTTCTAAGGACAAGTACTTACACATACTAGTCATTTGCAATATATTTTCAACTTATAAACATCTCCTAAAGGTTTTGAGGCAACAGCAAAAGCAAAAAAAAATAGTGCCAAAAAAGTCGACATTTCAGGGAAGTTAACCCTTGTAATCGTTAGGATGGACATAACTTGCCGTGTTGATTGTTTTACCTGTCTCTCTTACATATGATTTTCAAAAAACAATAGGCGAGAACTGTCAAAAAAGTTCAAATAAGCATTAAGGGGCAATAATTAAAAAATTGATAGGCATGCAAATATGATAATGATTTTTAAACATTACTGCCGTTGTCTTCTCGATCGTTAAATTTAATAAAAATACATTTTATCAACTTGTTTTAATCCCAGACAACTCTATTTAAGAGTGTACAACACATAAGGGGGTAAACTTTTTCAAAAGCAGATGAACGTTTTAATCACATATCTTTTGTTTATAGAAATTAAGCTTCTCAATGATCAAAATAAGTGTTTGTTAATCTGCTTTCGATCCAATTAAATTATTCCTGTAAATTGTATGGTTCAAATATCTTGCAATTTTTCTATTTTTGTCAACAGGTCAAGGTAAATATCTAATGGTAATTTATTTTCTTTTGTACATCTTCATAAAACAAAAATATTAAACAAAGTTTTACAAGGATATTTACTACTACAATTGAGATAACAACTTTGTAATCTGAGCCACTATATTTTTTTTTCTTTTAAAATATTCTCGAGTCACCGTCTATCCAAGTGCAAATACCTTACGAATAAAACGAAATAAGTATCCTTACAGAAAAATATTAATTCATATATAATAATTGCTGTTATCTTGTATTTTACCTTACTGATGGACGTTTTAATGAAAACTATTTGTTCCATTGTCCTCTATTGAATCGATTTCCCTTAAATTCGGTAAGAACCAATTTCGTTACAAAAACGTATTTGGCTCTATACATATTGTTCATTCGTAAAATGTATGTATAACTGTAAATGTGTAAGTATCAATTTACTTATCAACTTTAAACTTCAAAATATATTTATTCGTGTGACTTCACTATATCAATTGAAGAATTGTGCACATATTTGTAAAAATATTTAAAAACACTGTTACTTAGCGTATCAACTGACTGTGGTGGAATTTGTTGAGACTGTCATACAAGTGAGAGTTTTAGCTAGCTATAAAACCAGGTTCAATCCACCATTTTCTACATAAGAAAATGCCTGTTCCAAGTCAGGAATATGACAGTTGTTATCCATTCGTTTGATGTGTTTGAGCTTTCGATTTTGCCATTTGGTTTGGGACTTTCCGTTTTGAATTTTCCTTTGAGTTCAGTATTTTTGAGATTTTACTTTTTCAAACAAGGTACAAATTAGTAAGTGACTTATTTCTCTACATTTTAAGTCATTGAGTCATGTATTTCAATATTTTGTTAAAACGAACGAAACAAAGTATAACATAAATACTCAATTCCAAGGTAAATTAAAAAAAAGAGGAAGTTCATAAAAACTGACAAAGTCGAACATGTTCAAAAAACGGACTGAGTGAAAAGGAGAATGTATGATGAACTAACATGTTAGTCCTTAAAATTTGAAAATCGAAAAGTCGTATTAATCAGATAATATTTTCGAAACATTTATTATACATTTGTCTGTCTTATATGAATATTTGTATTGTTGGATTATACCTTGCATATTTGCTCTTAGCAATCAAACTTTTACATCTTTTGAAATTTCCTGTTTTAACCAATTATTTTTTTATAACATACAACTGCTCATTTTGTTTAATGAGCATACAATCATTATATGTTACAAATGCATTCTTCACCAATGACAGTGTAACATATATGTTTATAGAATGATAGCATAACGATAATTTTTGTTTTCGTTTGCTGTAGCAATAATTTTTAAATTTCATGCAGTTTTGAAATATCAGTGAACAGTGGACTTCATGTTTTTTTTAAATGTTACGAAAGAAACTGAAGACCACAAGACCAAAGATAGAATCAAAACATAAAATTTGAAAAAATAGACACTTCGATGGCAAAAAAAAAAAACAAAAAAACAACGAAAAGATGAACAATACTATATCAAACACTACATTAAAAAAGTAAGACTGAACAACACGTACCCCACCAAAACCGGACTTGATCGCAGATGATCTAAAAGGATTCGTAACATTTACATACTTTCCAGAATAATGTCGCACACAAAATTCACCACAGATATCATGATCATCAGTAGGTATTTCAATTTAAAAAAAACTATCCTTAAACACACTTGAAATTAGATGATACAAACAGTTTGATTTAAACAATACAAAAGGAATACGATTAGAAGTTTTAGACATTTCAATGTTCGTGTTGAGACATATAATGTATTTTGTGTTATCCAATAGTAAGTGGAATTGTGTGTCACGACTGTATAAGTGGCAGCCTAAAGTACACCAATGTAACATCATGCAAATGGTGTGAGACGTGTGAAAGTTGATATACACAAAAATTAAGATAAATCTATAGTGAATTGAAAAGTCATTTGTATTAAAGAACAATTTGTTTATTAATAAAACTTCATCAAACAAGTGACCCAAGAAGAGTTTTTTAAACATAATTCCTGTATATAAGTTATTTTCAAAGACAATTAACAAGACATATATTTATTATTCCGAATATGGAAATTAAAGGTTTCATATCATTGGGAATTGTACATTGCTTGGTATCAACTCAAGTTATTTAATTTCAATATTAAAATAAACGAGCCTAAGAAGAGTTTTTTAAACATAATTCCTGTATATAAGTAATTTTCATAGACAATTAACATGAAATATATTTATCTTTCCGAATATGGAAATTAAAGGTTTCATATCATTGGGAATTGTACATCGCTTGATATCAACTCAAGTTATTTAATTTCAATATTAAAATAAACGAGCCTTCACCGAGTTTATTACTACTAGGTAAATTATATAACGGGAATAAGTTATCAAAAGGCAGGAAAAAAATAAAAAGATAGGATAGTTCTGTATGTTACAATGTAGTTTGAAATACGAGAGAGCCGTGTGATGTTTCAACAGATTATCTGGCTATAAAAAAAAATTGCCTATATCTTGTTATATACTTTTGTATTGAATAGCAACAAAAACGTAAACATTTAACTTGGTACAATTTAAAACTCTAGTCGTACTAATTTTTGAATAAGAGTGATTATCAAACGATGAATGTAGAGCGTTTCATATCATATAGACAGGAAAACAAAGGCAACGTTCAACGATAAACAAAGAGAAAATAATTCAATAGAATTTCGGGTTTTTTAAATATTTCTTCACGAGTTTATAGAGAGATATAATTTTAATTTTTCAAATACATCCCTTTAAATTTAAAGTTATGAAAGATTAGAAAAAAAAGATTAGTTAGCGTTACTTAAGCTAACCTTTTTTTTTATTTTGTAGCCACCGGTTTTGTTTTTTGAGGGCTGAACAATTTATAAGTAAGTTATCTGAGATAAATTGTTGAAAAAGTATAATTAAGATCAAATGGAAAAAATGGCGATTGCTGTTATAGATATTATAGTGTCATATTACGACCATTCAAATGATAATTCACTAAGGGTCTATTCATTGGATAACTGCAGATGTGATGCATTGAAAAGACGAAAAAGGTAATCAGCCTGGTGTTAGTTATCATACAACTGTTGCCAATAGTTAAATGATAATGGTCATTTAATATTAACGCTAGCAATAGGAAGATTATGTACATTTATTTCTTTAAAAAATGGCCTCATTACAGCCTTATATGTCAATTATCAGTTATAAAACTCCTGGTATGTGATGAGCGAAGATTTCTTGGTGGTTATAAAGGAATATTCAACAAAATTTGGTCTGTGAATCTCAGTACAGAGATATTATAACGTGTATGTTTAAATCGGTGGACAAACTGACGTCCTTTACCAAACTTGAAATAATATCCAAAGTACTTGCGAAAAGGTGAAAAAATGTACAATCCCAAAAAATAATTTCGAATCGAAAACGTTTTGTCAATGGTCGTAATATTTTCAAAGGTAATAGATTACTCCAAGATATAATAGATTATACTGAATTAGAAAATGAGCAAAATGCAATTTTTTCTTGATCCAACAAAAAACACTTGAATAGGCGGATTGATCTTTGTTTATCAGAATTTGAATTGTGTGGAAAATGTAGGAGTTTTGGGGAAAATGCTAAGACAGGTATTCAGACAAATGGGTTGACTTCCATATGATTTCGTTCTCATGTTGTATATACTTAAACGGCATTGAAGATTACGCAGACAGGTGAACAAAAGTAAAATCCAATATCTAACATGAGGAAAATATTTCATTACAAGTACAAGATTTTTAATTGTATTTTTTTTAATCACTTCCCTTTTAATATAAAGTTATATGTATAAAAAATTTGAAAAATTGTTTGGTTATTTAAACTAAGAAGCTGAATATTTTATTTTGTAACCGCCATTTTGGTGTAAGAGAGCTAAAAGAATTATAGGTTAGTTCACTGAAAACAGATTTGTAGTAAAAGTATAATCAAGAGCAAATAAAAAAAAGTTCGGTTGCTGTTTCAAAGATTGGAAAATGTGATTTTAGTAAGGGTCTATGTATAGGGTAACAATTGACGTGTTTCATCAAAAAAGACGGACAAATGTATCAGCCTGGTGTCAGTTATCATACGACTGACAGGTGTCATATGATGCTCTTCATCTATATTAACGCTTGTTAAAAATAAATAACAAACATACCGAACTCCAAAGAAAATTCAAAACCGAAGGTCAAATGACAAAATCAAAAGCTCAAACACATCAAACGAATGGATAAAAACTGTCATATTCCTGACTTGGTACAGGTATTTTCTTATGGTGGATTAAACCTGGTTTTATAGCTAGCTAAACCTCTCACTTGTATGATAGTCGCATAAAATTATATTATATTGACAACAATGTGTAAACGAAACAAACAGACATAATAAGTAAAAATGTCAAAAATAGGAGTACAGCAGTCAACATTGTTTTATATTCTTAGATGTAGGAAGATGTGGTATGAGTGCCAATGAGACAACTCTCCATCCAAGTAACAATTTATAAAAGTAAACCATTCCAGGTCAAGGTACGGCCTTCAACACGGAGCATTGGCTCACACCGAACAGCAAGCTATAAAGGGCCCCAAAAAATTACTAGTGTAAAACCATTCAAACGGAAAAACCAGCGGTCTAATCTATATAAAAACGAGAAACGAGAAACACGTATGAACTAATCTCTATAAAAACAAACAAAATGCCAAGAAAGAAAAACAAAAAAGGCATATAAACAAAACGCATAAACAAGGTCTTGGTATCTTCCGATGAACTTTTTAGAAACAAGATGAGACAATCTTTGATATAACCCTGGTTCATCAACTTTTTGCTCAGACACTGGTGACGTTTTGAAGATTATGTATATGTATTGTCTCAAAATATTTAGCCTCATTACAGCCTTTTATGTCAATTGTCAGATAAATGCCATATTCACGACAGACCAAATGCAGTAAAATATATATCGAGATTTTTTTTTTCCATTTCCTAAAGTAAAGTTTATGAAAATAATGAAAAATTATAATGGTGTTAGGAATATACGAAAACATTATTATTTGGATTTCTGTATACGGTCAAACAGTCAAAAGAATATTTGCAAACATAAACTGAGTATTGAATCAAAACTTACTGTCGATCGTTGCTTTGTTGTATGTCATGTAGACAGAAAACAAAGGATAGGTCCAAAAATTTTACTTTTTTAGAATGAAACTTCAATAGATCACAGTCTTTGTATTGTGATATCGCTTTGTATGGCTTTCTTTTAAATGTACAGTTACTAAAAATTTGAAACGTGAAAGGTAATTCCAAAAAACAAATGCAGATTGGCGTTTCAACATTATGGATGTCATTTAACGAAATATTGATTTTGTTTAAATATTTTTGTATGTTTATTTATGTAGACGTTTAGCTGTTATACAACGATAAAGCTTGTCAGCAATGTATTGATTGCCGAACTGTTTCCTTCAGTCCAATTCTACTAAAGTCAAATTGTCTTGATGCATATTACAGGAAAGATCCACTTCGTTTGAACTTAAGTGGTTAGTTTCCTTATCGGCAAATATACAAAATCTCCTAATATTTATACGTTACATATTTAGAAAATTTGTTTTCTCTGTTGGTGATTTATTTGGGAAGATAATCAAAGCAATATATGTCTTACATCAAAAGAACTTGTTAATTTCTGTGCCATTTGGTCTCTTGTGGAGAGTTGTTTCATTGGCAATCATACCACACCTTCTTTTTTATATTGTCATGGACGCCCAACAAGTTGATATTGAGATTTCCATTGTTTATAACATCATATTATATGTGTAAAACCAAACATTAATAGATATCCAAAACACCAAAACCAACACTTTTGTTTTGGACAATTTTTTGATATTTTCATTGATTAATTTACTTTAATTGTTAATGAACTCTTTAATCTAAAAGAATTTATTTATCAAACATTTTAAAACATGTCCGGGATTCATTTTACAAGACTGGGAAAATGGTTGAATAGAATGAATAACTCTAAACGTTAAAAGGTAGTTTGAAAAATAACGAGCGAGTCATCTGATATTTCAATATATTATATAGCTATTAAATGGAGTTGCCTGTTTCTTGTAATTTGCTGCTCTTCCATATTTTATCAAAATAACAAAAGGGTTAACAGCTGCCAGACAAGTGGGAGGTTTAGCTAGCTATAATATCACCCACCATTTTCTTCGGACAGTGTCTGTAACAAGTCAGGAATATGACAGATGTTTTCCAATCGTTTCATTTGTTTGATAACGTTTGATTTTGTCGGTTTTTATGGAAGGATTTCCCTTTTTGGAATTCAACTTAGAGTTCAATTATTTTGTTATATTTTTTGTAAAATGATTTCTCGTAAATAGCAAAAAAAAAACGATTAACATTTAACTTAATACTCCTTGAAACTCTAGTCGTACTAATTTTCAAATTAGAGGGATAATCAAACCATGAATGTAGAGCGTGACATATCATATAGTCAGGAGAACAAAGGAAACGTTCAACGTAAAACATAAAGAAAATAATTCAATAGAGTTTCGGGCTAAATATTTCTTTTCTATGACACCCCTTTAAATATATAGTTATAACATATTTGACTGATTAATTCTCTTTCATTACTTAATAGGCTCCAGTCTAGTACAAAACAGGGTTCATATTCGTATTATATTAACATGTTGTCATCTTGAATATGCATTTGTCTTTTATTACGTTGTACTGTGAATGGTGTTGTGCTGTCAACCTTTCAAATCTTTAAATTACACTACTTTTTTTTATTTTAACAATGCCACTTCATCTTTTCAAACAACTGTTACACGACGGGTACCACTTATGAAGAAATATCGGCTTACCCTTCCGAGCACCTGCGATCACTCAGGGTCTTTTTTCGATTTTATTATTTTTCTTTGGCTTTACCATTTTATTTGTCGCCTCTCTTTCACAGTATTATAAAAATTAGAAGATGTGGTATGATTGCCATTGAGACAATCTCCACAAGAGACCAAATAACACCGAAATTAACAATTATAGGTCACCGTACGGCCTTAGACAATGTGTCAAACTCATACCGCATAGTCAGATATAAAAGGCCCCGAAATGACAAATGTAAAACAATTCAAACAAGAAAACTATCGGCTTTATTTATGTACAAAAATAATGAACAAAAAACAAATATGGTATACAGCAACAAACGACAACCACTGAATTACAGGTTCTTGACTTTGGACAGGCGTATTTCAAAATGATTTTCTACGAAACATTAATTTTTGAATAATTGAATCGCAATGTATTCAGCCTTCTGGTGGCCTTCGGTTGTTTTTTGCTCTTTGGTCAGGTTGTTGTCTCTTTGACACATTCCCCATTTCCTTTCTCAATTTTATTCTATAAATCAAAATGGCCGTTAAAGGATAAGATATGCACTCCTTAAGTTCTTAGAACCAATCGAATTTTTTTCAAATATTAAAGAAACTATTGATTTAAAGTGGAATCATACAAAAAGATATAATAATAATAAATAGACGTTGCTTTCTATTTTACCTCAATGCAGTGGGTTAATGTTTGTTCTCTACTTTCTTTTATGGGCTTGTCTACATAAAAAATTGAAAACAACACGTTTAATAATTTCATGCGTCCGAAGCGCTTTTCTGGATTTACCTTCATCAGGAACGCTCAAAGCCAAACATTTGAAATCCGAGGGATGTTTAAGTACCGAAATAGTTGAAGAGCTATATGACAAAAATACCTAAAACAAATAACCAAATCCATCCATCCATAAAATGCAAGGTAGCACGCTATGTGGAACTAGTGTAACCCGTGTAAAGGTTGCCCGATAATGAGAGTTTTCCTATACGTCTTTATTATTATTGACTATAAATTAGG